ACCCTCCCCCCCCCCCCCCAATAATATAATTTGGTTTACTTTATGCAGGTTTTCACAAGGCTAGCTAGCAAAGCCACAGCACTGAAAAAGGTTGTCTCTTCCCCCTCACCCATCAAATTTTCACACTTCCGCTGGGGTACAAGACTTTTTAAAAGAAATTCTCAGAATGTTTTTATTATGATGTTATTTTTCTCTGGCTTTCTTCTTGGAAACAATGAATCAATGTAGAAGAAATTAAGAGAAAAAAAAATAGCCTGAGGTAGACATCTGGTCTAGAACATTTAATCCCAAATGGTTAAAATTTTGCCAAGAACGGAGGGCGGGGACGACAGTCGGGCAGCTTTAACAATGCATACTGTTACCTGACCCACCCATTGTTATGCAATGTAACATGGGAGAAGATTCCCACGTGCTGGGTAGTGTACCCCACACAAAGTGCTTGGAAAGTGTAAACCCATGATTTCTGATAAAATTTTACTGAAGTTTCTTAATTACTTACTGCATCACATCTTCAAATTGGCAATTCTTGCTGCATCTTTGTGTGGGAGAGAAGATGAATCCGGGGCCTAGAAACTTTTATTTCTTGTCTTTAACACAGAGAGGCTATCTATATACAAACTGATAGATGAGCATATGCAACTGCACCAGTGGTTCAAATATAGCAGTTACTTCTAAGACGGTGCAAGAAACTAGTGGACAATTACAGTGCCCCCGGTCACATTTGACTGTGCAAAAGGATATCTCTGTTGTTGTTAGATGAACACTACACAGCTTTGGTCATGCATTTCCCACAAAAAAAAAGATGAGACAGAAAAACGCTACCACTAAAGGCACATTCCAGGCATTCCCAGACATGGTGAGGAACAGTGAACAGCATCAGAACAGTGATACAGTTTAAGATTTGTTTTGGTTAGATACTAATGACATTATGAAACTACCATTTATTAAATAAGTTATAATCCCAGCTGGGACTTTAAGAATTATGGAAAGATAAACAAAAGTATGCACGTAACAAGTTCTCAATTTCAGAAGGACAAATTGAGAGCCATAGAAACTATTCATTAGAGTAAGTCCCTCCTTAAGTGGTCTATTTATAACAAAAAGTCTGTACTTGAAGGTCAGGGAATAAAGTGAAGATCACCAAAACTCCATTGATACAAACCTTGTAAGTAAAAGGGAAGCATCGGAAGATTCTTCATGCAATTACAAAAGTAAAGAAAATTTGAATCCATTATACTGCAACAGTAGAGATTTAAAATAATGCAAGTATGGCTCTGAAACTTATTTTACTTGTTTTCAATTAAGATGACGGAATTTGATCTTTAGGGGCAAGATAATATAACTAATGGGGATCCTGGTATGAACATGACTAGGTCTAAGGCAGAAGGAAAACTCCAACATTGAGTTCATTCCATCTCAGTGGACCACACTTGTTTCCTATGTTTCCTAACAAATAAAATCACCTAAGTATAGTATATGGGTGCATGGTAGCAAGCTACAGATTACTGTAGCGTTTTTGTTTGCCTGGGGATCACATACCTAATAGGTAAGCTTGTATGTATGAATTTACCTGGGGGGGGTTCATTAAGATCCCAAAACTTTAAAGGCTACGTCATCTTGTGGCAATCCTTCCGTTCACTAGTTACCACATGAAGTGACTGAAGAAAAGCACATTTTCTTCTCTGCTTACCACCACTCCCCTGACAACCCCCAGCTGCCTCTCTCTGGCAAGTAAGTTGCCCCCTGGAGACCCAGGGGCTGTGGGGGTGCTCACAGGGTCTGGCGTCACCTCGTGTTTGGAGCTCAAGCAGCCGGAGAGTACGGCTGCTTACACTCCACCTCCTAGTGGTCGCTAAAGCAATCCTCAGTGGAAACATTTTTTTAGTTTCCACATAGATTTGTATCCTGGCCCAGCTCTACATGACATCCATTGTGAATTTTGTGGTTCTTCTTCCGCTTTGCAAATCTTTCTCAAGGTCTATAAAAAAAATCCGCACAGTAATATGTCTGTATTTGCAGATATACCTAGAGGCGTATCTGGGGGAAGTTCAGACTCAACATTAGGAAAAGGTTCTTCACTGAGAGGGTGGTTGGTCACTGGAACAGGCTCCCCGGGGAAGCGATCATGGCACTGAGCCTGTCAGAGTTCAAGGAGCATCTGGACGATGCTGTTAATCATATGGTTTAGTTTTAGGTAGTCCTGCGAGGAGCAGGGCGTTGGACTCAATCATCCTTATGGGTCCCTTCCAACTCAAGATATTCTATGATTCCATG